AGTAATGAGCAATACATCTTGATTGCATGTTTGATCGATTTCAGATTGAAGAAGTTGGTAGAATTCTTCTATTTCATCTTCACTGGCTTTAATGGTTGGTGCATAAATTTGAATAATAGTGGTATTAACTGGGCTTCCCTGTAGGCGCATGGATAGATATAGAAGTCAGATATAGAAGTATTTAAAGTAAAACAGATCTACAAGAGTGAAAATAGATAATAAGAGCTATCAATTTATAATATAGTCAACTACTAAACAAGGATGGAATGGTATTGGTGTAGAATCTCCAAATAGCAAGTAATTCAAGTAGATTTCAAAATAAAACAGACAGTTTTAAATGTGGAAAAAATAATAAATCACAGGGTAACCTCAAAGAAAATATACCTTCACTTCAAAATTAAAATAAGGGAAATCAGTCAGAAAGATTTAGTAAATATTAAAACAACAGAAATGAAAATGAAAAGAAAACCGTCGAATAAAGTAAACTCACTATAGAAAATTATGTGGAGTAAAACAGCAACACCACAAAAACATACACAACAAACTGACAGAAATCAATTCATACCTATTAATAATAACACTGAATTAAATGGATTTGATGCACCAATCAAGAGACAAAGAATAGAAGAATGGGTAAGAAAACAGGATTCTTCAATTTACTGTCTACAAGAGACATGTTTTAAAAAAAGGGAGACAGTCTATGACCATCAACAGAAGAATAGATAGCAAACTTATGTACATGCAAACAATGGAATACTATACAACACTGAAGAATAATGATGAATCTGCAAAATACCTCACAACATGCATGAACCTGATGGAAATTATGCTTTATGAAATTAGTCAATCACAAAGGACAAATGCTTTTTGAGACTATTATTATAAAAATTAATAAAATGTTTTCTTGATAAAATAAGTATTCAATGATGGCTACCAGGAGTGGGGAGGGGAAAGTGATCATGCCCTAGAGGCAGACACTTGTTAACATGGCTGATGGGCAGGTAATACGCAACAAAAGGGAGGTTAGCAAAGGGAAGATGAAGATAGAGGGAGACACAAGGAGGAATACAAGAGTTAAAGTGAATAGAGATAAATACTGTTAACCACTGTTACGTGAAGGGGATTGCAATCATTGTAATGAAGCAAAGTATATGCTTTATTGACTGTGAAAACTAACGATCTGCTCTATAAACCTTCAGTCAATTCATAGTAAAAAAGTTTAAAAAAAAATTGAGTATGGAGACATTTGAACTATGCTATCATATATGTTTTTGTTATTTTTGTCAGTTTCCCTAAGTAAATTCTGACTGGTGATGATCCTTATGCACAGAGTATAACTATTCCATAGGATTTTTAAGCCTATCAGAAGCAGGGGTCTCCTTGCCTGACAGTCAAGAAAGGTGGGTAAAACAGCCCACCTTTCAGCTAGTAGTTGGGCACTTAGGCTTTTGCACTACCTTTGGCCTTTAAGATGAAAACTTTTAATTATGTGAAGTGGGAACTGTATGACCTGTTTAATATGATAATGATATAATCAACTCGAGGTCATAGTCTTATTCCAGCCCTTAACTAAAGATGTAATACAATTGCAGCAATTGCCCAAGGACAAAGTTCAGAAGGCTGGAAGGGATAGGAAAGAAGGACGAATGGACACAGGAAACACAGGGAGGAAGGGAGATCAGTGATATTAAATCGTGAGGCTAGTTGTTGTTGTTGTTGTCAGGTGCCATCGAGTCGGAACCGACTCATAGCGACCCCATGCACAGCAGAACGAAACAATGCTCGATCCTGGGCCAACCTCACCACCGCTGCCACCCCCGAGTCCATCAATGATGCCACCTGGCCGATCCATCTCGTTGGAGGTCTTCCTCTTTTTCTCTGACCCTCCATCTTACCCAGCATGACATCCTTCTCCAGTGACTGTTCCCTCCTGATGATATGTCCAAAGTAGGAGAGACGAAGCTTAGCCATCCTGGCCTCCAAGGAGCACTCTGGCTGCACTTCTTCCAAAACAGATCTATTGGTTCTTTTGGCAGTCCATGGCACCCTCAGTATTCTCCTCCAACACCACAACTCAAAGGCATCAATTCTTCTACGATCCTCTTTATTCACTGTCCAGCTTTCACACCCATATGAAGCTATTGAAAACACAATGGCCTGGGTCAGGCGCACCCTAGTCCTCAAGCTGACATCTCTGCTCTTAGTAGTACATGAGGCTAGTAGTACAATGAAAAAAATACATTTGAATTGTATAGAAAACTGATTGCTCTGTAAACCTTCACCCAATTTATAATAAATTTAAAAAACTAAGATGTAGGAAAATCAAAATCGAAGCACATGTCATTAATGTCATGTCAGTAGTACCATCCTTATATACAAAGGCTAGTATCTTATTGTCTTTAACTTTCTTTTAATCAGATTGTTGCCAGAGTTGTTAAGTGCATCAAGTTGGTTCTGACTCATAGCGACCCTTTATAGAGTTTCCAAGGAGTAGCTGCTGGATTTGAACCACCAACCTTGAGGATAGCAGTTGAGTGCTTATCCTATATTGCCATACTAGGACTCCAGATAGCATTTGATCAAACAACATACCCAGTTGTACTATGTTTATTATTTACATATAGATGCCATTTTTGCCTTGTATGGCTTTATCTGTAAATCTTTTCTAGATTCCTCAAACAAATATTCCTCTTCTGTAGCTTTTCTTTTCTAAGGTTTGATTGTATTTATGTGTGTTTCCTAACTATTGAATATTTGAAAACATCCAGGAATAAAATGACTTACTAGGCTTACAATGCAGGCCTGTGCGGTGCTGTGATTTTTCTCAGAGGATCAAAGAGACTTTATAATTAAGAAAATAATTGCTTCAAATCTATTCACTTTATTAAAGGGATAGTAAAAATTTTGTTTTATATACTTATTTACTTATCTTCATTTTATTTGTTCATCCATTTACTCTTTACTTATACATTCATTCACTCATTTAAATCTTTTCTTGCATAAAAGCTTAAGAAAAGTAGCACTAATTAAATGGTCCCTTCTTCTTCTAACCCTAGTCATGATTCTTATTTCTAACTTTTTGTTAATTGTTCAGTACTGTATTTTGGAGTTTGGAACATAGGTGATGAGCTGACTTCAGTAAACAAAATCGATCTTCAACTTAATGGGAGCCCTTGTCTCCCTCCTCTACTTCTGATTTGTTGTTAAGTGCCGTCGAGTTGGTTTCAACCCATAGCGGCCCTGTACAGGGTTTCTAATGAGCGTCTGGTGAGTTTGAAACGCCCATCTTTCAGTTCAAACAGACCTTGCAGTCCAGCCCATTAATCCACAGCCCCCACAAAAGGACTCCATAGGCAACTGAAAATACTATGAATTGGGTCAGTCCTCAAACTGGCACTTTTTAAAAAGTCTTGTGCAGCAGATTTGCCTAATGCAATATGGCATTTAATTTCTGAGTGTTGATTGTGGATACCAGCAAAATGAAATATTTAACAACTTCAATTTTTTCTCCATTTATCACAATGTTATTTATTAATTCGGTTTGTTATTATTGATGTTGTGATATGCTGTTGAGTTGGGTCTGACTCATAGTGACCCTGTCTAGGATTTCTGAGAAGCACCTGGTGAGTTTGAATTTCTACCCTGCTGTTACCTGTCAAGTACTTATCCTACAGCACCACACCAGAACTCAGTTGGTTCAGTGTAACTCCTGGTATGACTCTGTAGGATCAGCACTGGACTATCATGGGAAACCCTATACAGGGTCACTGTGAATCAGAACTGACTCGATGGTACTTAATAACACCAACAACATTGAAGGAATGCCTGATTCTATTAAAAGGGACAGGAAAACTATAAGAGGAACCCTGGGACATCTAGTCCTTGCCAGAAAGCAAGGAAATGTTCAGCGAATACAAAGACATTTTAGTGTCAGAATCTGATATATTTTGTGCCTCAAAATAAGTAATGATAATACCAGATTATAACCTATTGAATGAAATGTTTTCATTGTTGTAGATGCCATCAAGCTGATTTTAACTCATAGTGACTAGTAAACTGTAAAAACCCACACTAGTGTAAATAAATAAACTAGAAGTTTGATGAGGAATGGAATGTTTACATGGTTTCAAAATAACTCTGTCCACAAAGTAGTTGATCATTATAATAAAGGAAAAAGTTAGCTTTTCAGTGGAAGAGTCTAGTAAATATTACTTTAATCAATTTATCAAAGCCATTATAGTCAATGATGGGTCAAATGAAAATTGTATACCAGCAGAAAGAATGCAACAAGAACACAGCACTACTTCTATGATATTCTGTGCTCCAAAGATACATAACATAATTATAAGAAAACATGTTGTTGTTAAGTACTGTCAAGTCGGTTCTGGCCCATAGCAACCCTGTATAAGGTTTCCAAGGAGCATCTGGTGAGCTTGAACCACTGACTCTGCAGTTCAAACTGACTTTGCAGTCCAGCACATTAACATACAGAGCCACACCAAGAAAATATGAGACATACTTAAATAAGCAAAATTCTGCACCATAACAACTAACCTATAATCTTCTAAAGTATGAATGTCATAACAGTCAAGAAAATATTGAGAAATGGTTGTAAACTGAAGGGAACTAAGAGACATGACATATAAACATAATGTGGGATACTGAACTAGATACTTTAACCATGAAAAAGTGTTATTGGTTCAATTGATGAAATTTGAATACAGCATGAGAATTCAATAGGAATAGTGCATCAACAATAATTTCCTAATTACTAATGGTTACATTGTAATTATTTAGGAGTATAATTTCCTTTTCAGAAAACATGTAGTATTAAAAAATGATGATGCTTCATGGGTCTCCATGAACAACAGTAATGATAGCAAGTCATTGTCAAAAAACATCAGTAGTGGGAGGCACTTGGAGGCAGTGAATGGTTGCATTTCAGTATTGGGGAACAGAGGAGATTCAGCATATAGCATCATCTTATCTGGATTGTGAATCCTTGTGTGAAAAATTATTAAGTGTTCTTTTAATACCTAAGGGTTGGTGGTTTGAATCCACCCAGCATTTTCTCTGAAGAAAGATCTGTGGATGCATTTCCCAAAAATCACCCAAAAAAAAAAACAATGTAATCTTAAATGAATGATTAAGGATAAATGATTTTATCAAGTGTTTGTGATTGTTCATGATGGTTTTGAAGCTTTTAAAGAAAACTTAGTAAATATAATGTTATAGAATAAAATCTCAATCTTAACTCATTAGAACTCTTGAAAATTATTTAAGCTATAGTCTCTATTTCATATTTTTTTCAGGATTATTGGCCAAGGGAAGTCCATTTGGGTTCTGATCCAAAATGGACAAACACTCTGAAAAATATAAAAGAAGATTGCTCATTTATTTCAATTTATACACATTTATGGGAAAATGTCCCTCGACTATTTGAAGCAGTCAGTGCCATGGAGTCAGGATTAGAGAAATGTTCACTTCTTTTAAAAGACCATGCCTCCAAATTATTTGAGTGGGACACCACAATTTGTAACACAGGTAAACCTTATTTCATGATGAGTAATCTGTATGTGTGTCCGTGCATATGTGTTTGCATGAAGAATTGAATCTTAGGTATGAAATATCTTAAAATATAAAAATAAATTAATTTTACTTTACAATCTCTTCATTAAAAATGATCTGATACATGGCACAGAGGTGAATGATGATGTATGCACAACCTTGGAACAACAGGGCTCTTGAATACAGGGATTGAGGCATAGTTTGAAGGGGAAAAAGAGGGGAATAGTATTAAGATGCTTGACTGTCTTTTGAATCTTGGTTTCCCTTGCCTACCATTGTAAAATAGACACTTGAGGTGGGGAAAAAGGAATAGCCAGAATCATCACTACAGAAAGCTTGTAAGTCTGTCTTCAGCCCATAACTGACTGGAAAATCTTAAAGGGGACTAGAAGTTGCCCAGTGAAAGAGGCTTCCTGTGGAGCCTTTACATTGCACAAGACCATAGGTGGAATCCAGAACCCCATCCAGAACCGACTGAGATAGGAAATTTCCACTGGAAAGGACAAGTAGACAAGGCTGGAGCGACTAGAAGAACAAAAGATATTTCATGAAAGAAAGACTGGCAGGAAAAATCCAAAACAGTAACGGCAGTCTGATTGATTACTACAAGAACAAGTAAGCTGTTTGACCCAGAGCCATCAAGGCAAGTGGTCAGAACCCCTCAGAGCAAACCTCTTTCCAAGACTGAGACGTATTGTGACTGGTGACCACGTTGGTCACCGATAAGGGAACAGGAGTCAAAAACAGCAATGAAGTTGCGAGCTAAGCCAGACCACATTCAATAGACACCGTGAACCCAGGTTCTGACAACTACATCTTCTCTTTCCACAGATGTAGTCAGTTTGATTTCTATGTATTCCATCTGGTGAGGTCCATGTGTATAGCTGTCTGTTATGCTGTCTAAAGAAGGTATTTGAAATGAACAAATCATTGGTTTTGCAGAATTTTATCATGTGTTCTCCATCATCATTTCCATCACCAAGGCCATATTTTCCAACTACTGATCCTTCCTCTTTGCTCCCAACCTTTGCATTCCAATCACCAGTAATGAGCAATACATCTTGATTGTATGTTTGATCTATTTCAGATTGAAGAAGTTGGTAGAATTCTTCTATGTTATCCTCACTGGCTTTAGTGGTTGGTACATAAATTTGAATAATAATGGTATCAACTGGATACATAAATTTGAATAATAGTGGTATTAACTGGGCTTCCCTGTAGGCACATGGATATTATCCTGTCACATACAGTGTTGTATCTCATGACTGATCTGGATATGTTGTTTTTCATGATGAATACAATACAATTTCTTTTCAATTTGTCATTCCCAGCATAGTAAACCATGTGATTGTCAGATTCAGAATGGTCAATACCAGTCCATTTCAGCTCACTAATGCCTAAGATATCAACGTTGATGCGTTCCATTTCATTTTTGACAAGTTCCAATTTTCCCAGATTCATACTTCATACATTCTATGTTCCGATTTTCAATGGATGTTTACAGCTGTTTCTCTTCATTTTGAGTTGTACCCCATCAGCAAATGAAGGTTCTGTGGGCTTTTCTCCCACGAGCTTAACTCCATTCACGTCATCATGGTCAACTCTACTTTGAGGAGGCATCTCTTCCCCTGTTGCATTTTGAGTGCCTTCCAACCTGAGAGGCTCATTTTCCAGCACTGTATCTGACAGTGCTTCTCTGTTATTCATAGGTTTTCAGTGATTCAGTAATTCAGAAGTAGTTTGTTAATCTTTCTACCTAGTCTGTCTTTGTCTGGAAGCTCATCTGAAACCTGTCCACCATGGGTGACCCTGCTGGTTATTTAAAA